CCGGCCCCTGTAAATGTAAAATGTATTACTGGCATGCAAAACCTTAAATTACAGTAAATAAATGAAGACTTGGCACACCACCTCTCAAAGGTTGCCGACCCCTGATGTAGGTAGTTAAATGGGTAAAAGGACAACAGAAGGAAGAGCCATCAAACTCTTCTTCCTAAATGGCAGTTTTTTAGGCACTATTAGTCGCATGTTTGTACAAACCATACTCCTAATGAGAAAGCAAGTTATTTCAAAGCAAAATATGTTGTATTACATGCAGGTCTAGTATACTGATTTACTGGCAACCAGGGCAAGCGTGCATTGCAATGGACCTGCATGACATCAAGATTCTGCCGTCAGCCCAATAGCGACTAGTTTTGGGGCTGAATGCCTGGCACTTAGCATGGAGTCTTCAAACCCACTTTCTCTTAGAAAATTCCCTTCCTTTGATACATGTACAGACTCATACATTGAATAGCATTTACATGGGCCTTGGGGTGAATTCATTCCCTGCTAACAGTCATCAGCTTTGGACTGCCTTCTCAGTACGTAATAAAATACATAATGTATGTATTTTGTACATTCTGAATTTCAAATCCTAATCCAGTTGTACAGTGCCATTTAGATGTCTGTGTAAAACAGCTGAAAACTACTAGCTGGCAGATGAGTATCTTAACCTACTCCTCTAAATATTTGCTAAAATTGCATGGTATATTTTCTTATGAAGGCTTTGTTTGAAAAATAACATTATTTTTTCTTTAGAGCATCAAACCAGCTCCAAACAGACTCCACAGACTCAGCCAAGAGATGAAGACTTTGAAGGGGCTCCATGGAACTGTGATAGCTGCACCTTTCTGAACCACCCAGCGCTAAACCGCTGCGAGCAGTGTGAAATGCCACATTACACCTGAATCTGGAAAGGGTCTGCATTAGGTTGAAAACCAGTTCTTGAGCCCACAGCCATAGGAGAAGGAAACATGGGGAACCTTTCAGTCCATCTGCCAGGCCTTTGTTAGTCAACTATTTTCAGATTACAAGGGGGGAGGAAAAGATGTGAAACTGTTTCCACTTGTACTGCACTAAAGAATAAATTTAGGGAGTGGGGAGGGAAATATTCTTTTCTTATCCCATTGCAGTGAGCAAAGCAGAAAGGATACCCAAAACCAGGAAAGGATTCACTCTTTGAAGAATGTATACAGGAAAGCAGATAATTGCTGTTTAATCCTGTGGCTGCAGTTACTGCTTAGTGGCTCTTAATTTTTAAATATAGAATTTTTAGTAATGATGTGAAATATTACAGTTATCCCGACAAACTGAAGCCATAGCTGACCTACCTGGTCCCAGCTAGCTGGAAAACAAAGGCTCCCTGTGCTTCTGGATTGTAAACTACTGAAAAAGAAGACAGGAAAATGCAACTGTAAATTTTACAACAGATAGAAAACAGAGAGAGGGGTATTTGTAATTGCTGCTTTTTTTCAGGGTGATTTAAGTCTACACAAAAATTTGCTGTTTTGAGATTGTGACTTCTGGTGCGAAAATGAGGTACTGTATGAGCCTTATAAAAAGTAGAATTGGAGGTGATTCTGCAATCCCTTTTGCTTGTATAGTGCTCACCAAGCAGTGTCAACACTGGTAATTAACTAAGAACCAATTCTACCATATTACTGATGAAAAGATTGCTGCATGCTTTTATTAGGCCATTGTGTGGTAAAGCTAAAAGTAAATTATGCTTTTATAAATAACGTTCTCCTAAGACTGCTCTGTAGCAGTACAGTGAACGTATGCCAAATGCCAGAACTATTCCAAATTCTGTTTGGAAGTTTTGAGCTCAGCCATGGTTATGTATGAGAAGTGTTTGCACCCTGTTACTTAGGCCTTTTCAGCTTCCAATTTTGTGAAGAATTCATGATGTTTACAGCACAGAAGGTACTTTGTGCCCCAATCCTGATTTAGCTGAAAAAGAACAATCAATATTAGCTCTTCAATAAAGGTTTATTTGCACATTGTTAATAAACCAGCCTGTATAAATAGCAGATGGCAGATCTGGAAAAGTTGCACACTGCATTTTTTTATTTTGGTCAGGAAATGTTTGCAATATAGTGAAGAATACAAAACACTTGCAAACTAAAAACCATACTGGTACTTTTATGCATATAATATATTGTATTATATAAAACGATCAGTTTTTTGTTTAAACGCTTCAGTTTGCTGTAATAAAGCAGTCATTATTTGTGAAATCAGAACTTCTGGATTTGGGCAGCTGAATGATTATGAAGTGAAATTGTGTGACTGATTGAGGATGTTTTTAAGAAGCTGGTACAATGCATCTGAACTTTTACACTGTAACCATTGTTTAAAATCCAACATTCTCACAGCATTTGAAAGGGAGAGTTTTAGTTATTTTGCCTGTATTGCCTTTCTGATGTTTTCCCTCCATGCAGTTAAAAAAGATAGCAAAAACTGCTGTCTTGTGATTCAGATCAGGAACTGCCTTTTATCTGGTATGATATTGAAATATGTTCCTTCACTCATTAAATCCTAAACATAATCTAAAATCATCTATTTAATAAGTCTGCTTGAGATCAATTGAAGTGTGCATCATTAATAAGCAAAATGAAGTCAAAGGCATCGGTGTTGAGATTTCTTTTTAAGTTGATGATGATTTTGCACTGTATGATGAGGAGCTCATATGTAAAAGAAAACAAAAATTCCCGCTGTCCAGATGAAGTTAAAAATAAGCGTACATTTTTGTAACTCTGTTTGTATAAATGGACAGTGTGGCAAAACTGAAGGGACAGTGTGGAAAACAGATGAGCTGAAGCATTTTACTTAAAACATTTTTCTTCCTTGAGAGATTAGCAACACCATTACCTGTTGTATATTCAGGTATTCAATACAATACCAATTCTGTCATAGTTCTTCAGTGATGATGCCTTTTCTTTTGTATGATTTCAATTTTCAGTCCTATTTATGTTGACTTTTTAACAGCTTTAGTTTCTGCTGGAATAGCAAAAATGATAACTAAAATGACAGTCATCAGATGAGAGTAACAGTAGCATGCTTGAGAACAGTTGTGCCACTTTGTTTTAAGACAGTGTAGATGCTGCTGATTTTAAAAAAAATGCATGCAACTCATTCATTCTGTGAGCTCTAATAATCCTAAATGCATGGTTTCTGGTGGTATGAAGACAGTCTAGTCTTAGTCATAGCTTTCACCAGCTAGCAGAAGACAAAAAAGAGGCAACCTATGAGGAGATGCTATTGGGAGGGTGAGAGAGGGTGCCATCAAATGGGCAAGTTGATTTTAAGAGCAAAGCTGATTTTTATTTGAGGTTTTTTTCAGTTCTCATTTATTGGTTGTACAAAAAGTATTGAAATTTTTTTCTGTTGTACTCATTTACTTGTAAATGTCCATGCACAAACATTAGCAGTACAAGAACTATATATGGTACTTGAATCTTTAGTTTGTTAGAACATAAGTTGTATTTGAATATTAGATCATCCATTTTGCTTTTTGGAAGCAGGCAACACACCCTTTCCCACTCCCAACTGAAATGTAGACTATGCCAAAAAAGGTTTCTTTGTGTAATATTTATTTAATGCACACAAAACCCTAATGTCAGCTGGCATATAAAATGCACTGTATTGTATAAAACTTTTGAGTGTATTCGTGTGTGGATGGCAGGATGCTGATGCCGTTGTGGTAATGCACTACTTATTTTTAATAACAAGCTTTCCCTCAACTGTGCTATTAGACTAGTATGGTTCAGTTGGTAACTTACTTGGACTTTAGGTATTTAAAAGGATTTCACTATTCATTTAAATTAACTTTTCTAAAAACTTATTTTATATTTATCATCTATTAGTATCAATTATCCCTTCCTACTACCATAGTTCTTTAAAAGTTTTAGTCAGAGTGGGACTTGTGAACAATATTTCAGGGTATAGCAAACCAAAAGAAATCCTAAACTTGGCTATGCTTTGAATTTGATGTAATTATCAACCTTGCTTGTTTGGGAGGGAGAAGGGCAGGTGGGGGGCTAAGGAGAAAATAATTTGTAAAATATAGTCTAAGATCAGATTGAGTTGTGCATTTGTGTGTCTGTGGTATGTGTGTTTTCCCTTAAGATGGGAGGTGTGATGAGAAGGTGTAATAATTTTTAAAGAGCTGGTCTCGGTCTTAGTACTTTCTAATCATGTGCTACTAAATCAGGTTTTCTTTAAAAATATATTGCTTTCTTTCAGTTACTGTATCTGTCCCAGTTATACTCTCATTTCAGTTTTTCCATGGCAACACATGTCAACATTAAGATTGATTGTAAAATCCTTTGAAACTGAATTCAGAAATATTTAAGAGCTGAAATTGGGATAAAACAAAATGGGGGGGGGGAAATAAAGAATGTGAGAATATCAAATAAGTTAAAAATGAAATTGTCATCTTGATCCTTTTTAATATTCATTGGTATACCCAGGAATGTGAAAATGGCTTTCATAGTTCAAGGTGGACAGTTGGACTCATAGATACTTAACTGCTTCTCTGAGACTGTAAAATTTACATGCTGTGATACTACTGTGACTCTCCACCCCATAAAGACAGAAGACATGCACGCAAACGATGCGTCTTGTAGTCAATATTGCTTCTGTGTTCTGCACCTATTTTATTTCCTTTCCAAATGTTAACATAATTATTTAAAGTTGACCATGATTGAAACTTGCTGTATGTTTTAGTTTGGGGCATTCTCATTGCTTGTCTATAAATATTAATACAGGTAGGTTTTTCTTGACTTGTTTGAATAATAAGAGGTCATTGGAGTTAATGCAATATTATAATTTTGGATTTTCAAGACCTGAAAGAATTTTTTAAAACTCTGTTCTTGACATTTATTTATTTATGGTGGCACCGATGTATCTAATCCATATTTCCTGCTGTGTGGAACCCTGTTAAATTTTTTCATTAAAACAACAAGACAAGATCTTGTCAAATCCTGTAAATATGATGTCTTTAGTTTTTAGATGTATATGCTGTGAATGAGATTATTACCAAGAGATGAAATTGTACAAAAGCATTAAGAGGCAATGCATGCATGGTATCTCCAGAAAGTGCATACTCGAAAAGTTGCAGATTTCTGCAAAAATAAATTAATAAACTAAGAAAACATCACATCCTGCATTTGTTCTCGTGTGTAGTGGAAGACATTTCCAAAATACCAAATTTTCTTGCTTTGACACTAAACATGTTTCTGTTAAAGTGTAGCATTCTCCATAAACCCATAGCTATATCACACTTTTGTTTGTGTCTTTGTAAATCAATATATTTCCCCCTGAACAACTGCTCTATGTTGGACTTGGGCCCCAAACTTGCAAGTCGATCTACAGGGGCAGACCTTTGAGGTGTGTGGTGTCCCACTAAAGTCAAAGGTGCTTTGTGCAGATCAGATTGCAGGATTGGGACTGTGCACAAATGATGTTCACAAAGTGTTTTGGTCTCTCTTCCTTTCAGCAGCAAGCCAGAGAACATTCTGATTCCAGAAGATGATGCTGTTAATGGCAGTTGAAAATTTATTATAGATTTCCAACCCCCCCCCCCCCCCAAAAGGCTTGAAGAAAAGGTTCTTTTATTGAATGAATGGTGTAGAATTTTAGTCATTTTTTTCTTAAGAAGACTCAGGTGTGACTGTTGAATCACTGCAAAGGTAGTTTCCTTAGCACAGTATCTTTCTTCAAACTATAAAGTTTATTAAATTGATTTGTCGTGTGATCTAGTAAGTATTATATCAATTATTCTTTTCAGTTGATCCTTTTAACCCTTCTATATGAAGTATGGTGGTAGGTAAGTACTAGGTTTAATTGTTGCTTCTCAGATTAAGTGTATTGTGGCTAGACAACTGACTTCATCTAATTTATATGAAAATCAGTCTCAAATAGTGGCTTGCTGATGTCTATTGAATTCTAAATCAAAGATTTCCGTTCTTTGAATGAGGACTATTCAAGCTCCATGAGCAGGATTTTCAGAAGTGCTCAGAGTTGGCCTAACTCTTCTCCCATTTAACTCATTGGGAGTTTAACCATTGACTTCAGTGGGAACAGTCAAGCTAACTAATCCCAAGCAAACTTCGGATCCCCAAATTTGATCTAGCTCAAAACTGTAGTTTGGGACTATTGCCTAAAATCTAAGCCATTACGTTGTAACTGAGCAAGGATGAGTCCTCCTGAGGCTGCCAATGCCAGTGAAGAGAGCAATAGTTTCCACTGTCGGAGCAACCTGAATGTTTTTGTAGTTTCTTGGGTTCTTGTTTTGTAGCAAATGAAGAAATATTGGCGCTTCTAAAAAGCCAATGTAGCATAACTGGGGTGGAGGGGTTGGGGGATAACCTGCTATGAGGTAAGGGTTTACCTTACATAATATTACCACACAAACTTGGTTGACTTAGAGTTAAGGTTGCTCTAAGCATGCAGATTCACTTCCTCTAATTCATACTCGCTGTACAAGCTTAGCTATGGGTTCAGAGTTAAGTTTGTGTTTGTGGGCTGCATCCTTGTCTAGTGTGTGAGGAGCTGCTGATTAGCTAGGTTGTGGAGAAGAACTGATGCAGCACTTGGGACCATTGCCAGTCTGTCATGTACAGAAGTTTGGAAAACACTAGCATTCCCTGGCTTTCTCCTCCACTCATCTGCTGGATGCTTCCTCAGGAGCTTCGCTCACGCCCTATACCATCATCGTTGGTCCCCCAGGGCATCTTTCATACCTTGAGCCCCTTCCTCTCCCCCCCACATATCCCCGATCAGTCCCTCATGACTCCATTGTAGGCTGTCTCACTCTTCCCTGCATGCTTTACTCCCCCATCGACAATCACTAAAAAGGCGACTTCTTACAAGGAGCCTGACCTATAGAACGTGGCATTGACAAAACTTCCCATGTCCATCAAGTTTTGTCAAAGAAAGCCAGCTCTGATCAGGTAAACTTTGCTCCCATGTAGTCTACAAATCAAACATTAATATCCTTACTGTAACTGCAGTGTTTGTTGTAGCAAGGTGGAAGAAACAAGATATGTTTTAACACTTTGCTTTCAACAGAACGTGAATGGATGAAGCATCAGCTTAGCATGTGAGCTGGAAAATCAGCACCAAATAGAAATTGAAGTACTGAATGTAAAGTATGGAACGAGATATAAATTTGTTCCACACTACAAACTCCTCTAATTACTTCACGATGCCACACCCAATGTTGCAGTAATTTAACTAAAGGTGTAGTTTTAAAACTAATTTATTTAAAATCTACAACTTGGTCTTGTTACTAGGGAAATGTACCAGAATTACTATGCTAGTATAATTATACCACCATAATTACTCATTTAACGCCTCATGTCAATACTCTTAGAGTAATTGGACTTTTTTTTGGTTTGCATCCACAAAAATAATTATAATGGTTTAACTAGGTTGCTAAATATCGTGGTGTAAACTAGACCTTTGTGTGTGAGACATTTACATTGGTTTAAATGTGGTTTACGCCGGTTTAGCTTTGATGCTAAAATAATATAAACAAGGTTTAAATTGATATGATTGTCCATGCTGGGATTTGCTCTGGTTTCAGTACATTGTTTTTTAAACCACACCTTTAGTTAAACAAATGCTGCTTTTGTGTGTAGACAAGCCCTTAATTTCTCAAAATTAAAAAACAAGTATCCTTTCCTGAAAGCATTTCTTGTATCTGCTCATTGTTATGCTACCTTAAGAGCATGTTTCATGCTGCTAAATGTGAACAAATAGTTTATTTTTTTAAATTAAACATTAAAATAATAATGAAGTTAGAGTAGCAAATATCTTCAGTTGTTAAAATGTCGCAAAGGCTGATTTTTGGTTTTATCTGTGTTCTATACTTTGAGATAACTAGGGTTTGTCTATATTTGAAAAATTTTAGTGGATTAACTAATTTTTAAATTGGTGTAGTTAAACCAGTGCAAACCTCTAGATGCACTTAAAGTGGCTTATCCCCTATTTAAATTGGTTTAACTTAAACCAATTTAAGTGAGGGTTACCCTGGTTTAAATTAAGCTACATTACAGGTTTGAACCAGTTTAATTAACCCAAATTTTCTAATGTATATCAGGCCTTAATTTATATACAGAGGCAAAAGGAAGCTATTTCCATAAAACATTCCTATAAGTGAAAAACTTCAGATTTTCAGTTGCATGAATCTTTTTCTTCTGGTATATTATAGATGTGCTATGTGAAGTTTTACAGGAACAGGTGTTTATTTTAACAGGTAATTCCTTATTTAGAAGGTTTGCTAAATTGCTGATTATGCTATGTTGTTGTCAGGTAAGTAAATTCCAATCAAGTCATTAAAGAGTCTCCCTTCAGGAATGACAACACTTGATGTTTATTTTACAAAAAGGTCTACAAAGGTTCCAGAAAATATTTTAAAGTAAACATTTCTATAAAAATGTGTAGGAAATACATCAATAGACTTTGGGCAAATGCACTTGTATAACAATATAATTAGTTTCTTTGCAGATAGTCAAAGGGCATAGCATGCCAGTAACTTGCTGTAAAAGTCCATAGGCTCATATGAGGGTTTTTTTAATTATAGGTTGTCCTGGATTCATTATTCCCATGCCATAATGACCTTGCTGAAGTTCACAAATACTCCTTTGTTAGGTTTGCTAGGGGGGAAAAAACCCATACAAAACATTCAGTTAATGTTCACAAAAGGTTTGTCTTAAGGCTCATGTAAAAACCCCCACAGTAGTTAAGAACAACATGCGGCTTTCCTTCCTCTCTCCAAATAAAGCACATGTATGGGGTGTATTTCATGATTTTTAATTAAAGTGAAAATTTTTCATTTCTGTAAATCAGTATAGCAAAATCTGGTTTTGATTACAGAATAAAATTCTGCTCTTGGATCTGAAAGTTCTGGATTCCAAACTTTTGTTGCTCCTAAATATGCAACATTTCAACTGATACCAAATTTTGCAGAACTGACAGTAGGACTTTGCCCTAAACCAAAGTGAAAACCATTTTTTTCTCCTTTGATTGAACTCAGTCTGCTGATTTGGCCTAATGTTGTGTGTGTTATGAACGTGGAAGACCATTATGGCTTGGCACCCCTTTTTGCTGGTCTGGTCTAGGAAATGCTAAATGATTGGTAAGTGCACCAACTATTAACTTGCAAGCAGGGACAGGCAGCCATACCATGCATTACAATCTTTATCCTAAATAAATTTGAAATTTTATTCATTTTACTTTAAAACTAGATGACCCGGTAGTGAAAATGGGCTCATTGTCTCTGAAGAATCATACTGTTCTTGAGGGAGAAAGTGGGGAGAAAACCAAAGATGTCATTTTTTTTGTTTGTTGTTTTTTTTGTTGTTGTTCCAGTCTGCAAAAACCTCAGAATTTGGAAGTTTCAAAATTTTCACACGCTAACAAGAATACAAAAGGACTGAAGCCTAAGCAAGGGGCAGCAATAGTCAAACAAAGAGAAACGAGAATAAAAATGGATTTCATGTGTGTTGGATGCCATATGTATTTCAGTCTGTATAGTGGTATATACTGACCAGACAATGGCATGCTTTAGGTTTGGGGGCAGTTTCTCCTTGTGAAAGGAGATGTTAACAATCTCCGAGTAGAGGTCCCATCCATTCTCACTGATGATCCAGGACAGCCAGGAGTTTTGATTTGTGTCCCTGATTATAAGTAATGCTTCCCATCAATGTTAGTTGTGTAACTGGGATACCTGGGGTGACTCTGTATCTGGTCCTCCTCTCTGCTTATTATTCTGGTGGCCTTGAAGAAGTCCCCTCAAATGAAAACAGTCTCTCTGTTGATCCTAGGGCTAATCCAATTCAGTTTATAAAGTGATTTAGGGTTGGGAAAACTTTGAGGAGTGACATCTCTTCCTCTGTTCTTGAGGCAGCAGTTTGCTTTGCTTTCTGTGTAGTGGCCAACTTCACTTTTTAAAATGTTATATACTTTTGATGAAGGGCATTCGGGTGTGTTCCATCACAGGAGATGTTGAGGCTTAACTGTGTTATAGGAATTGTTGCTGTTCAAGAAAAATTTAAAAACAATCTATAATAGGCATCTCTCGTGTTTCTTGATTATCAAAGAACCTTTGTCTTGGAAATATATAACTTATCTGGGGAGTTTTGCCTGATCATTGAAGATGTAATCTTGTTACACAGACGTATTGAGTCATCCATATTTTGTTTTCTGTTTTCCACTTTTTTGAGTCATTAGTTCTAAAACTGCAGTAACTGGTTAATCCAGCATATGCATATACTATACTTGTTAAAGTATATTTGTATTGTAGTTCAGTGTATTATGCAAAATGGAAACAGTGCTAGCTAAGCAATATGTTTAATGGGTGACTATTCACTGCGGGGGAACCCTCCTACTCTTAGTTAATTGGTAAAAATCTAGGATATTTTATTAAAATTGCTTGTTTTGAGAAACATGACAGTAACTTGCTGACTCCATAATAACTCTGTAGACCATTCAGAAAAGAGGTAAATGGTACAGACAAGAACTGTCACCTCCGGTGCACCAACATCTGCCAGACAAAATAAAATCTGCATTGCTCATTTGGTATAACTAAAATGAAATAGTTATAGTAGAACAAGATCAATGGTTTTAAAAATACATTTGCTTTGTTTATACATATTTTTGATTAAGTAAAACCTAAGCTATTTATCAGCAAATTATTATATTGTGACAAATACATTAATAATTTGTAATATTTATAGAACCATAAATTACAGATTTTTCAGGGGAATAGTAAGAGGCTTTTTTGTTTAAAGTAACTATAGGATTAATCTTACCAGAGATAGTATCGTGTTCCCTGAAATGTTCCATCATGTTTTCCCTCTTCGCTGCCCTCCAGTTCTACCCCAAGATACACATCCTCTCTCCCAAGCAGGTGCCCCAAGTACTTGATTGTTCCTTTACTGATTTTCCCTGCTGGACGGGAGAATTTCACCAGGTTTCCAATTTTCAAGTCTGTAACATTTCTTGGTGCAAATGGTCGTCTTGGTAACACTACCTTACCCACAGGACTCCTGGTGTAAAAAGAAAAAAATTAAAAGCAAAACCTTTTTCTAAAAGTGTGAAACTAATTTTAAATTCTGAAGAAAACTTTGTTTGCTGGCTTCTTTTCAGAGTACCAAATAACTTTGCATTTGTGATCCACTTTGATAAGTGCCCTGTGAATTTCAGTTAGAATTCTTACATTTCTTAAAACTTCATTCTCAATTGCCAATCCAGAAAGATTTCTGGGGGGAGGGAGGGAGGGATGTTCTGCCTCACCACAGCACAGAGGCAGCTCAGGTAGATTTGTTTTGTATTTTTCTCCTGTTAAATTTGTTCACTATAAAGGGATAGGAATGCATAACCAGTCCCACTGCACTTCCTGATCACTGCTTGCCTGCATAGTTACTAACCACAGCAAAAATAGAATTTGCATCTCCACTGGAACTGAGTTGGTGAAAGCCCATCACTTGGGACTTACTAACAATGAATTGGACGAAGCACTAGAAATGTATTGTATGGAGTAATCCTATTCTGTCAGGGAATGGAATAGGTGACCTAGTAAATCTGATGTCACTAATTGTTATGCCTCTCAATTCTTTCACTTCCCCTCCCTTTCTCCTTTTGGTGCCTGCTAGACCAATTGCAGTGCCAAGAATTCCCCCCTACTCGTGAGACTGGCTTAACCCAGCTCACGGAACTCATGGGAGCACCATGCCAAGATGCAGCCTTAAAACAGATCACCCAAATGGAACTGGCCCTGTTGAAGGCACCATGACACATAAAAGGAGAGTTAAGCATTGTGAAAGCCAGGGAATGGGGGGAGAGGGGGAGCTCCTCTGAGGGCTTTGCAGATGTAGTGATTGATTTTTGCCATCCGGCAAAATTCCAGGCTAGCAGTCACTCCCATCCTAAGTTAACACTTCTGATTTCACCTGCCTTCTCTTTAGGCAGCAGGAGCCTAGCAAGGCATTCCAGATGAGAGGATCTGAACTAAGCATATCATGGTGGGTGTGTACACCAAAATGTACTGAATGAGTGGATCTGTGTCCTGTCACTATCCTGAAATATTCATGTATGTTCTTCCCTTCAGCATATTTCCCATTTCCCTCATCTCCAAGGGGCCAAAGTTCCAGACCTCTCAATTTCTTAATGAAGCATCAGCCTAAGTATTTATCATTGTGCCTGATAAAAACTTATTGTGCAAACAAACTGGTAAAGGTGAACAGCTTTGGAGTCTGGTTTACACCAAAGCAGAGGGTTAAGAAATCCTTCAGCACACTTTATTGGACAAGATTCTGAACTATCTGTTCTTAGTTCAAGAATTCTCTCAAACTAGGATTGAGGCCTCATTCTCAAATTCAGACTCTCTGGAGAAAAGTGGAGTAGTGAGAAACCATGACTGAGGGGAAGAGAGAATGCGTAAAAGGTTATAAGATCAGTGATAAAGAACCAATACAGTTCTTCAAACTCAAAGTGCATGCATCTATTCCAGTCCTGACAGATTCAGATTCCTGTGCAGGTCTGAATTCCCTTTATCTATGTTAAGTAAAAGAATGGAAGATGCCTTTAGTTGGGATTGTGATTTATCAACTGCTTTGACTTCGTTACACACAGACCTACCTTACTCAGCCTCGAGCAAAGAAATCGACAGCTTGCACAAAGCTAAATCTACAGACTACAAATAGATTTTCTTTCTAGGTCCTTCAAAAATGTATTGGCGTTTAAAGCAGGCAGTTCACACCATACCAGTTTAAAGCAGGCAGTTCACACTTATACCAGCACTGAAAAACCAAATGATCGTAGTGTAATGTGACATCAGCACAGCCAGTGTCTTACACGTCTGCAGGAAGGGACTAAAAGCCACCAATCTAGATGAGAAGCAATAAGCAGAGTATGCTATGTTGTACATCTTTTTATCAGCCTGAGCGAAGGAGCTGCTGACCTGAGCAGAACAGATGTGGCTCCCAGGAGAAGTGTCAGTTTTGTGATGAATTTCCTATTTTTGTGACTGGAACTATTCAAGGAGTTAGATCTCTTCATGAAGCCCAACGGAAAGTCTCCTTTATTACTCATGACATTCAAGGAAATTTAATGACTGATGCCTTCTCTGTGTTATGGGCTGGGCTTGGATGAATGCCTGCCTTCTTTCACTGCGTGACAGAGCACAGAAGCAGTGCTGGGTACTAGCTCTCAGTCCCATGTTTAGTCCTTCAGCTCCGGAGTTGTTATCCTGGTTCTGCCACTGACTTTGTGTGGCCTTGGGCAAGTCCACAAGCTTCTGCTTTCTCCTCTAAAATGGAGGTGATGACTCTTCCTATCAAGGGGGCATTATGAGGACTTGGGCCTGATCCTGCACCATCTAAGTCAATGGGAGCTTTGTCATAGACTTAAGTGGGCAAAGGATTGGACCCATAGTGCATGTTTGAACAGCTTGTGAAAATGTGATGCACTCTGTAAGTGCCACATAGGGTATAAATAATACACTGAGGAGTGCCAGCAAACTGGATACTGTACTCAGGGAACAGTTACTCCATGGGCCACCCGAACCACACCAGGCTAAAATTACCTGCATATCACAAGGTAAGAAAACTGACCCCACAAAAGCTTTCCTGGGAAAAGTCCTGGGATGTTTTTTTCTAGCAGTAGTTCACAAGGGCTGGAAGCCTGAGCCAAGACTGAAGATGGAATTCTTGTTACATGGGGGCTGGCAACATTCTTTTGCCATCATTCAGTACAAATGCCAGAGGCAGGATTTACATTCACTGATGCATGAATACCGACAACATAGGCGAACTGGCTCCTCCTTTGGGGCTGTATCAGAGAAGTTTTAAATTGTACTAGGGACTTCATAGGAACCGTGTTAATGGAAACTACTGTGGGGCTACACATCCCTTAGCCAGGCTGCTTACTCAGCCAGTGCTGGCCCCCAGCTAGCTCCCCAATGGGCATTAAGTCCAGTTCTGCTATTGCAAAATGAGATAGCTATGGAACTCTTGCAGGGATGTGTGGCCGCTCTGTGATCCCTGGACCGAACAGGAGCTAACTCGTCTCCTAAGAGCTACTGCTAGCTTTGTATCAGCCATCAGAGCTCTAGCTGCACAAGTTCCTTGGTTCTGCAAGTGCCACTCTTTTTCAGCCCCTCCAAGCTTCATGCCTAGACTTTCTGAGTGAGTGGTTCTGGGCCGATTGCTCATGGATAGGAAATTAATATTCTGGAGTTCCGAATGGGAACTTTGCTGATTTAAGTGGCTGTAAGATGGAGGGGAAGGTGGAAATGATTAGTGGCTTGTGTGTTTTGCTCCCTATAAACTTGGAAGCATTTGTTCACAATCATGCCAATTCCATCCAGGTACCGGGGGCTATATAAATGCTTGCCCCCCAAATATACAGCCATTTAATTGGCAATGCGCTAAAGTCAGTGGCCTAAGATTCCACTGAAGTCGACAAGTATCATGAAAACTGCTTATTTTTCCCTAACGGTAATAACTTGTCAAATATTACCTTAATTTTGTGCTGTTTACAAGCTCTCCAATACCTTGATAGTCTTACCAGACTAAATAAGCATGGAAACAGTACTACCCTCTTGCCCTTTGAAGTGGTCCTTAGAGAAAAAGAAGTGTGTGCAATGGCACAGTGATACAAGTCAGCATGTCCTGGGGTAGCCGGTGCCATCCTGTCTTTGGTCTATGGTACTTCACTGACCTTGGCTGCCAACCTGGCACCCGTGATCATCACTAAATTAAATGATATATAATTAGGCTGGTTTTTTTCCTATATTTTAAAAACAAAAAAACAGTATATCTAAAAATCTCTCTTAAAGAAGAGAGGGTTCCTCATCCTGTGCAGTAACTGATGTTCTTCGGGATGAGTGTCCCTGTGGGTGCTCCACTTCAGGTCAAGGTACGTCCCAGTGGCTTCGATCGGAGATTTCTACAGCAGTACCCCTACGGGCTGCGCATGCGCTGTGCCTGCCTCTCGAGCGCTCAGTGTTTGAATAACACGTGCACGGCCTGCTCTCATCAGTTCCTTCTCTACAACAGAGTGCATTACGAATTCCGAAGTAGAGGAGGGCAAGTAGTGAAGCATCCACAGGGACACTCATCTCGAAGAACGTCAGTTACTGCACAGGTTGAGTAACCTTCTCTTCAAGAGATGTCCCTGTGGGTGCTCCACTCCAGGTGACTGAAAAGCAGTACCCTTTAGGATGGTTGGGACTTCAGATGAGGCAAGAAGGCTGTTGACAAGACAGCTCTACCCATTCTAGTGTCGGACACTGCAGTATGGATGAGAGCGTAGTGATTGGTGAAGTAAGGCTCGATGCCCAAGTAGCTGCCTTGCATGTGTCAGACAGTGGGACATTATGGAGAAAGGCCGTGGAGGTGGAGACAGCTCTGGTAGAGTGTGTCCTAATTGATGTAGGAGGGTGTATTTGCCTGAGTTGGTAACAAAGGCATATGCAGTCAGCAATCCATTTGGAAAGTCTTTGTGTAGAGATAGCATTTCCCTGTGAGTGCTGAGTAGTAGAGACAAAAATTCTGGGGGGTTTTCTAAATGGTTTTGTTCTATCCAGGTGAAAGGATAATGCTCTGCAAACATCAAGAGTGTGCATTGCTGTTTCAAAGGCATTAGCGTGAGGTTTTGGGGAAAATGTTGGGAGGTTTGTGGAGATGAAAGGAAGAGTGTATTTTAGGTAAGAACTCTGGATGCGTGCAGAGTGTGACCTTATTGCGGAAGAGCGTGGTATATGGAGGGTCCACCATAAGTGTCCCCATTTTTCCTACTCGTCTGGCAGATGTGATTGCTATGAGGAAGGTGGTCTTCATGGATAGGTGGAGAAGGGAGCAGGTAGCCATTGGTTCAAAAGGTTTATCCATCAGGGCTTTGAGTACTAGGGGTAAATCCCAAGGTGCAGCAGGTGGTTTCACGTCTGGGTATAATGTCTGGATACCCTTCAGAAACCTTTTGGTGATTGCATAGGCAAAGACCGTAACTTTGTCAATCTTATGGTGGAAGGCAGTGACTGCCGTAA